AGGTGGCGCCAGCAGGCAGCAGCGCCTGGAGACCCCCGGTCTCCCTGCTCAGGAACAGGATGTCCCAGGTAAGCTTTGCACCTGCCCCCAAACTCCCTCCCAGAACCTGCAGCCCTTGTCCCCTCCTGCTGACCCACCCTCTGCTCCAACCCAGAGCCTGCACCCAGCGCCCAGCCTCCATCCCACCCCCACATTCCCTCCCAGAGCCAGACCCCTCTTCCCCTCCTGCAGCCAAACTCCCTCTCAGAGCCTGCGCCTTGCAGCCAAACTCCCTCCCAGGGCCCACACCTTCCCCCAATTCCAGGGGGGCAGGGGCAGGTGGAGCTGAAGTTCAGCCAGTCTGCAGTGAAAGGCCTCGGTTCAGGTTGACAATCTGGGCAAGGTGCAGCTTGGGGGCTGCAGGCAGCTCACTGGAGTTCTACGTGTGGCCTGCGTATGCCCCCTCCTCCCCTTGTGCCTGGGGGGCCCACACATACCTACTCCCCCATGGCTTCCCAGATGGTTTAACTAAAAATACCAAACAGCCTCCTCCCCTCCAAGAAAAGGACCCGACAGATAGCAGGTATTAAACAAAATCCACCAAAAAAAACACCAGGGAAAAAATTCTGTTGGGGGGGGGGACGGACAAAAGGAAAGCTGTTGAGGGGGAAAAAAAACTCTGAGTTATTAAGAAAATAAATAAATAAATAAATACATTAACTATTAAAACATCATGGCACCTTTCAGAGTGCCTGAAGAATCAGAACAGGGATAGGAACAGGGGAGCGGTTAAGCACTAAGACCCAGGGAAGGCATTGCTCCCCCTTGGTCTTTAGGCTTTTTGTTGGCGGCCATTTAGTTTTCTCGATCAAGCCAAAACGCAGCTTTCCTGCGGAACCTGGTAAGCAGAGGGCCCGGGAGGGCTGGGGTGTCGGGGATGGGAGGCCAGGGGGTGGGCCCAGTTGCCGAGAGTGTCGTAGGGTTGCGAGGTGTCTGGTATTTTCGCCTCCAAGCAGGGGAAAGAAACAGGTGTCTGGCCGAATGGGGCACAAATCACCTGATCCCCGGTGCTCCGGAATGCTGGGAGGGGGAAGGAGGCGGCGGGATGGGATGTGCTCGGGGGGGAAGCAGGGAAGGGGCCGGGTGGAGGTTTGAGGGAAGGGTTGGACTGTGGGAGAGGCCTGCAGCAAAGGGGAGGGGTGAGACAGGCT